CCCACAGTTGGCGCATATTTCAAGAACAAAATCTGGTGAAACGTCGTGACCAGTTACGTCTAACGTGGCACTGGGTAGCGCGACTACAGCGCCGTCTACACATAACAAGGATATCAATCTTGCTTATTTTATTGTCGCATATATACATTTTCTCTCGCAGAAGCGGCATTGGTTGAAAATGGGAGAACAAGAAATGCATTGGTTGAAATTTGAACCAATGGAGTACTGTGGACCATGTGATGCCCCCATTCCCAAAGGCAAAGTGGGCCTCGAAGAGAGTCGCGGTGGTAAACGCCACAGGGAGAAACCAAAGACGTAGTGAAACGTTTTGTTGCATTCGCGAGAAAAAAGCTTCATGTTCGCATACCTTTATGTAAACAGAATGTTTTAAGCTTTCGTAGCATTTGTCACACCAATATTTTGACGAATTAGCGTGTTGCAAACATTACAGAACACTCACGTGGAAAAAGCATGGCAAATGAAATGCATTACTTTCATAGTGGTGGGCACGAAGTGCAATTATATTTTCCCCGCAGGAGCGGCTACTTTAAAATGCAGGTTCGAAATGTTCTAGAGGATTTCGACAAAACCGGTTATTTTATTAAAGCGTGTGCGTTTGATCGTACAATAAGTGAAAAGTACAAACAAGTTGGCACACTCTTGAAGTTGATGCTTATTATTTTGAACGTCTCGATCAGCCTTACCACGATAAATGATTGTTATATATCATATTCATAACGACTGACGGTTGGATGACAGAGATTGTTCCAAATTTGTGTGGAGTTTTCAACGGGAATGGCTGTTTTAAAGATCACTCAACGCACTTCAAAGCCCTGGCCTTTTTAAGATTTGAAAGCATCTGGTTTCTGAGCTAGACGCTCTTAAACCTGTGCGGACTGTTTCAATGCCACCCAGGCATGCATTATCCCATAGGAATGTCACGCGAATGCTTCCGCCCCATTGGCCATGTGGTACTCAAGGCCAAAGCCCGCACAGAGACTCCTCTGTGCGGCACGTGCCTGGCGTACGTACGAGGTCCCCATTAGGAAGCCTCTTGGCTTACTCGTTCCGGGCGCATGCAACCTGTCCCGGACAAACGGGGGTCGCGAGGATAAGGGTTGAGGCGAGAGGAAGGATGAGAGGGGCGGATGATTCGAACACGGCTCACACTTTGTATCGAATGATACAGGAAGTGAAATATTGGTACGAACTTTTACAGAAATTTGATAGGGAATCGAACGACCAAAGAATAGCACCTTAATCGATGATGTGAATATAAGTTAACAGTGTAAAATCACGGGCAAATATGTGAGAACATCACGAGAAAGGGACAGAATAGGACCACACGGCGATATTTGGTCCAGTAACGCCTTCAGCATCGCCACGTGCTAGAGATCACCTTCCTGGAGATTGAAGTGCTACATGTGAGTCGGCCCGTCTGTTACAGTGGCAATTCTGACACGGTCAGTCTGGCGGCGACAGGACGTCATAAGGATGTTCCACTACGTGATGAAACGTTGATGCATCGAGTGTTGCATGAACTAAATAGGACAATTATATTGTCTTGAACGGTCTCTGACACTTGAGAGCACACCGATAGTTCTTATAATCTTATTTCCCCATGTCTGATGCTTGCTCCAATACATTCAGATGTGAAACATTACCCTTAACCACTATCGCCATTTCGGCATATTTGTTTGACACTGAATTGGCACGTTTTCGTTTGGAGTCCTTCACCAAAGTGTAGCTTTGCTGTGTATTCCAATGACACTGAAGTTTTGAACGAGATGCCACAGTCGCCGGTCTGCCCACAAAGTTGCCGGACACCGCGGCTTTTCCTGACCTCGCCCGGCCCTCCCTCGGTCCACAGCGCGGCCAGGCACCATGGTCTTCGTTAACCCCGCCCGGCCCTCCTTCGGTCCACAGAGCGGCCAGACGCCACGGTCTTCGTTAACCCTACCCGGCCCTCCTTCGGTCCACAGAGCGGCCAGGCACCACGGTCTTCGCTAACCCTGCCCGGCCCTCTCGGTCCACAGAGCGGCCAGGCACCACGGTCTTCGCTAACCCCGCCGGCCCTCCTCCGGTCCACAGAGCGGCCAGGCACCACGGTCTTCGCTAACCCTGCCCGGCCCTCTCTCGGTCCACAGAGCGGCCAGGCACCACGGTCTTCGTTAACCCCGCCGGCCCTCTCTCGGTCCACAGAGCGGCCAGGCACTACGGTCTTCGCTAACCCTGCCCGGCCCTCTCTCGGTCCACAGAGCGGCCAGGCACTACGGTCTTCGTTAACCCCGCCGGCCCTCCTTCGGTCCACAGAGCGGCCAGACGCCACGGTCTTCGCTAACCCCGCCCGGCTCTCCCTCTGTGGACAGAGCGGCCAAACACCGCGGCGTTCGCTAACCCCGTCCAACCCGCCGTCTGTCGACAGAGCGGCCAGCTGCAACACCTCTCGTCCAACCTCTGTCTGGACGGGGACGGCATAGAGGCGATGCACCTGCTGGCGGTGGTCCCCTGCTCGGGCGCGCCTTCGCAGCAGTTCGACTTCGTTCACCCGGAGCTGTGATGACGGGACTGAGGCGGCGCCGGCGACGCTGGCGGCGCGGCTGGTGAAGACGGTGCCGGGTTTTGAAGGTTGGCTGCATACTCGGCGGCCGCCTGGGCCTGGTGAAGTCGGTGCCGGGGTTTGAAGGCTGGCTGCCATACTCGGCGGCCACCTGGGCCTGGTGAAGTCGGTGCCGGGGTTTGAAGGCTGGCTGCCATACTCGGCGGCCACCTGGGCCTGGTGAAGTCGGTGCCGGGGTTTGAAGGCTGGCTGCCATACTCGGCGGCCACCTGGGCCTGGTGAAGTTGGTGATGGTGTCGCGAGCTGTCCGTCCTACATGCATTGATCGTGACGGTCCGTGCTCTCCTTGAGTTCGGGATCCTTGTAATGAAGTGACTTCAGTTGTCTGTGATCATGCGGTGGTTCAGCCGACCTTTGGTGTGGCCTTATTGTGTTCGGTTCGTGGCTTGTAATGCAGCCATGGGCACATGTTCATAGCAGTGCCTTTGTTATATTTTTGGCATGTGAACTGGTAGCACTTTTGCTGGTATGCATCGTCTGAGTTTGTTCCCGATAATGCTCTCTAGATCTGCGCTGAAGACCATGAGTCCGTGTAGGTTCCAGGACAGAATGGCGCATAAACGCTTATGAAGTAGCAAAAGCGTCAATACTAAAACAGGCGGCATTGTAAAGTGTTTTACTCTGAAATGTCGTTGAACGTAAATGCTGCGTTGCGAACGGGTCGCGAGGCAACGGATAAAGGTACGGACCATTCCACAGCATATCAGATGTGTCCTATCGCAGGCTGGGTTTCCATTCCATGTTCTCCCATTTTCTGGGTTTGGTGATATTTTCTGATTGCAGCATAAAATTATGGCTTTGTTGTGCTACCAGGCCTTGTGATCGGACACTGGTGTAACTGGTGTCGCACTACCACTTTCGTCCATGTGTCGGTTTGTTGGCCATGCTCGTATATATTCCTAATGTGACTTGTTAAAATATCCGCCCAAGTTCAATATCCCTCAGCGTTTTCGATCACACGCAAACTGCCTGTAAATTTATCGCAACCGCTCCTCGGTGGCTATAGTTATATTATCGTGCGTTTGCATTCATAATGTCAACTTTTGTGCTACACAAATGTTTTGCCTTTGTTATTTTGTACCAGTTCTCGTTTGTGCTGCTGCGTACGAATCTCTTGAAATTGTGTCTATTTTGGGTTGGAGTGGCTTGGGACCAAGCGCGTTCATGTTGTGCAGATGTTGTATGCGATGAGCCATCCATGACTGCCGTTGTGTGGGATTATCATATTGGTGGAACCCCAACTCTGCCCCTCTGTCTTACATCGAGGGACTATCAACCAGACGCGTTGATCTCTGAAGGAGACGTAGGAGCTCAATCTGATCGCAGTGGAGGTCTGTTATGAGACTAAATTTTGGTCTTCGTGGTCGGTCCAAGCAATCAATGTGATTTCATCATGAGAGGGGTCAGGTGAAGATCACCTGATCTGCCCTGGCGTCGGCTTGTTGTTACTTCCCCGGGGATCTCTGGCCACTGGGTCACCGCTGTTCGTCGGGGTTCCGCCGGTCGTGTGATCGCGCGCGCTACACCATTCCACAAGCCAACCCAGAACGACTGCCAACGAGGGTCATTGTTTTTTCGTATCTGTTAATGAGACATTGTTACATGTGCACTGAATAAAGGCAGTACTACCTTAGCTATGCTCGTGTGCCCGTGGGAAGATGATCAGTAATGTCGCCGAAGGCACAGGGCCAATGCAAGCAATTCGCGGTATGTGCATGCAGATTCCCACCTTGAAGATTCACCTTGAGAGTTCGAGCATTTATGACGGACGCTAGTTTATACTCTAATAAATATTCTGATGCCTGAAAATGCGAAATCGGTCGGTAACTTCGCGCGATGTGGAGTTACACGTCATTTGCCTTGCAGTTGATGTCAAAGAGCGGCCGAGTTTGTGTGCTGAACGTAATTCTGATCCCCAAAACTGCGAAATCAGCCGATAACTTTTGGATGATATGGAGCTCCCTGTTGTTTGATTTTAAATGTTGCCTTGAAGGTCACGTGAAAATGAAAAAAGAAGTCAGGTTGAGTAGCGCGTTTGCATCGTGATCAGAACTAACAACCTGAAAAAATCGATACATAAACTGACAACTTCGTGGACGTCACACCGTCACGGGAAGAGCATGCTGTATATGATGAGACGGCAGAAGGGAGATATGTCGACGCGTTTACCCGTTTTTATCGCCTTTTGCCAACGCATTGTCGTCTGGCGTCCCTGTGCCTCTCTTCAGTCGCTCTTCGCATATTTTATGTATGCAGCCATATCATGTGCCCCAAATCTTCGGTCTGGTAGCAGTATTGTATGCTTTTCAAAACTGCGCATACTCGACAAAATACGGCAGAATGGCATCAGATCGCCCACAGTCAGGCCAGCTGTCAGCACTTGATCAATAAAACTGAGTCTTAGGCGAGGCAGGTTAATTGCGGGACCTGTCTGTCAGACCCATGAGCGCATTGCGTTTCGGTTAGGGATCAGCTAGCTTCTCATCGAGAGCGTTTTGACTTGTAAGTTTGCATTGAATGGGGTTTGCTGGAATTTTTGGGTGAGATGTAACGTGCAAGGTGAATATTTGTCAGTAGTTTCCCGCTCGGTGAAAGATGCATCTCCCTAAATAAACGAAGTGCATGGCATCGAGCTTGTTTCTTCACCTTATTATATTGAAGGAACATCAAAACTCTTGGATCTGGGCAGCTATCCTTGGGAACATGAAGGAGTGGCCAATGGCCATATAAAATGACAAGTATAGCTTGCTTGGCTAGTTGAGCATGAGCAGCACATGGCGCTTCAAGCTTCAATGCCTCCATCCCTACAGTGCTATGACACTGAGCTATATTTGTTGCATGACATATAAATTAAAGGTACCCACTCTCAAAATTATTTAGACTGCGAGGACAGGTTATTCTGAACATGTATGGTACAGCAGAGACATCAAGATGTTGAATGGGCATAGCAGAGATGTCACAGCAAGGTGTATACACACACCTTTATTTGCTTGCATTTGATGCACAGTTCTGCCAATTTTAGTGCATAGAAAGCCGATTTTTCAAGCAATTATTATGCTGAGAATGAGATTTTACAGAAATGTAATGCCAATTTCTTGTGCTGAGGTAACCAAAAAAAAAAAAATCAGTGGGATGCATCCTGGCTTGAGTTTTGCACATTTGAACTCAAGGTTCAGGGCTTTAAGACATGTAGGCATGTGGCACAGCATATTATTTTTGTAGGATGGCTCAAAGGTGCCTGGGCAGTCAGTGAGGTCTGAAACCACAATGATCCTTATTTTCATTTGCACTATGATTGAAGTAATGGTGTTTGAGGATCCAGCTTCATTTAGTGGGTGTTGCATGAAGGTGATACCTATTTGGCAGCTGTGAATATTTATTTGGTAAACTGAAGGTGAGCTCAATAACTATGCTGATTGATATGGATGGTTGATAGTACTGAACATTCACAGGCAGCCATAGCTTGCTTCTGTTAAAACATTAGGTGCTTCATAATCATTATGGGCAAATGTTGCGTGGCCCTAGTACATCCTAATCAAATGGATGTGATGTGTTTTTGGAGCCCTCAAGCATGACTGCAGTTACATTTAACATGAGCAGAACAGCCTCAAGCCCACACACATTGTGGTGTTTTCAAACAGCTCATGTAATGTTGCATCAGTATTGCTAGCATTCTAATTAGGTGTGTTTGTGCTTCTTAAAGCAATATTGCTATCATATAGTATTACTTCTCCTGTTACATACCTGTTACCAATACTGGCACAATAATGAACTGCATGACTGTTAGTTAAGCATGTTTATTTGAACTTTATTCTGCTTTCTTGAGCATTTCCATGTACTGTGCTCTCTATACTATGAAAACCCTTGTGCATGCTGAACCTTGTGCTGCAGCATTGATGGGGTGTTGTCAAAATGATGTCATATTGGAAGAGCTTGGCTGCTCTCCTTGGCCATTGGAATGTGCTGTTGAGTCAGCTAATTTTTTTGGTCCTTTCCAGCATTGAATCATGTCAAGTAAGAAAGAAGAAGCCTTGGCACACATAAAGGAAGCTGAAAAATAGTAAGCAGTCTAGCTAATAATGTAAAGCACATCCAGGGTTACTAGATGTGTTTCATTGATAACTGTAATGTGAGGGGTGTGTTTGCTTGAATGTCTATTAGTCACACATCATGGCTATAACTTGCATCACACAATAACATTTGATGAGTGTATGTATATAGCAGTTGCTTATTCAAAGTATTTTCAATAAACCTTTATTTGTTCTACCATTAGCATTGTGGTGTATTTATTCATGTCACAGCTTAGGAACTTTTTACTGTGCATATTATTTATTTCATCTTAATGTGTAGGTTGTGCTTGTTTTGTAATGCATATGCTTTGTTTTCAGCCTGAAAACATCATTTTTTAAATGGAAGCCAGATCTAGACTCAGCTGCAGATGAATACAACAAAGCAGGTGAGTATATATTATATGTTCCACACAAAAACATCTGTGAACTTACCTACCTGCTTACACTAGTTGTTGACTAAGAAACATGTGCATGACCATATGTTGTCTGATTTGCAACCTTTCCTAATAATTTGATTTTGCATATTTAGATGGGTCTTCCATTGCAGACAATCTGTCAAAACCAGATAACAAAAACAAAACAGGACTCGCTCTAGTATGTTATTGGCCCTGCTGCCATTGTTTCCAAACCTGATATTTATTGTGAGTTTGTGAACTCCTCAGCCATCATTGGCTGGCTCTACCTGCTGTTCCACATATATGTGACTAATTTGTTAGGCAGTTTTATTTATGCCTCAACTCCAGTCATGAAATATGAATAGCTGTGTGCAATGCAGTCATCTGACACAGAATTGAATAGAGAAGCATGACAACCATAAACCAAGTATCTGTTGTGCATATCCTTTGCATTGCTGCCATGTGCAGATCACACTAAGCTGTCCTGCCATTGTGACAGCTCACAGCTCAATCTGTTGATTTTGGATTGCTTCTTTTGTGATGAAGGCTTTGTTGCATCATCTGTTCATGTGTATGTTGAATTAGAGTCTGCTGCCATCACTGAAAGTTGCACCATTCAAAATGGTATGGAAATTGACAAACATCTTGAGTTTCAACCACCTCTTGACAATCTTTTTCCAGTGTCAATAGACACCTGCAGGTGCCACATGACCTAGGTGGTCAACAAGCCTTTATCATTATCACCATCATCATCATCATCATCAGTAGGTGCCTGCTTGGCCATGCATCATGTGAAGTGCATGCTTTAAAAAGACCCATTACTTCGGAGCTCTGTGCGAGAGCTATATCGCCGATCAATGTGTCACATTGTTACTCATGGGTTTACCCAATCATGCACAAAAACCCATAATGATGTGCGCGAATGGTGAACGGAATGTGAAAGCATAGCCATGCATCTGATTTTGTTCAAGAGCCTGGATGTCGTTTTACTGATAAGTTGATCAGTTACCACCAGGTCGTATTCCTGGGAAAGGCTCCTTGGAAAGGCTCTGGCCCTGTCAAATTCGCGATGTTTAGTCGTGCTGATCACTGGCTTGAAGTGCGGCATTCCACCCAGTGAAGGTGGCCTCGTACTGCGAACAACTCCGATGCCCGCTGACTTACCTATATTGCGTCAGACTGTTTTCATTGATCACCACCCGACGTACATATGTAAGCGCGACGTACGTTAATAGCTCCAAGCACCAGCTAATGACGCCGCTCCTGACTTGTTTCTTGAATACATGCGCTTAGATCTGCTGCTGTGCTGCTGTCGGCTCCGCCCGGCTGATGACTGGACTGTTGGGCGCTGTGCTTAGTGCAGCGCCCCTTTGCACCAGACGGTGTACTACTTAAAATGGCACGCTCATCGTGGGCAGTTACAAAACATGTAGCCATCACTATGAATCTGCAGCCGGTGTGTGTCTCCGACTGGATGCCCGAGAGTGGGGCGTCCCGAGCTGACGCGCCGTCAGCTGGCCGGTTGGCACCTGGGCGGCGGCGTCACGTGGGTCTGACCTGTTGCCCGCGGCAGCCACCTGCTACAAGACGGTGCGCGCCCACGCCGAGTGCCGCGACTGCCTCGCAAAGGCCGCCAACTGCCACGAGCAGAACGGGTCGCTGTTCGCTGCGGCCAAGTGCTACGAGCAGGGCGTGCTGATGAGCAAGGAGCTGGCCGACCTGCCCACCGTCATCACGCTCTGCGAGCGCGCCGCCAAACTCTTCCAGGTGGGAAACGCGACCACGCGGTGAGGTGCACACGATCCATTGGGCGGTGCTGGGTTCGGGTGCGGTGTTCCGGTGGGCGGTGCTGGGTTCGGGTGCGGTGTTCCGGTGGGCGGTGCTAGGTTCTGGTGCGGTGATCCGGTTGGCGGTGCAGGTTTTGGGCGCGGTGTTCCGATGGGCGATGCTGGGTTCGGGTGCGGTGTTCGGGTGGGCGGTGGTTGGTTCTGGTGCGGTGATCCGGTTGGCGGTGCAGGTTTTGGGTGCGGTTTTCCGATGGGCGGTGCTGGGTTCGGGTGCGGTGTTCCGGTGGGCGGTGCTGGGTTCGGGTGCGGTGTTCCGGTGGGCGATGCTGGGTTCTGGTGCGGTGTTCCGGTTGGCGGTGCGGAGTTCGGGTGCGGTGAGATGCGAGCCTGCGGTCTGCGCCGGCCGTCCTGAGCACACATATTCAGACGGTCGGGAGTATGCTATGCACTCAGAGGACGCCGCCTCCGTGCTGGGCTGGGTGACATCGATGCGGATTCGCTGATTGTGTCCGCGCGGCCTCCTTACGTTACCCGTCCGGACGTGTCTGAGCCGCGCGGCCTCCTCACGTGACCCGTTCGGACTTGTCTGAGCTGCGCAGCCTCCTCACGTTACCCGTGCGGACGTGTCTGAGCCGCGCAGCCTCCTCACGTGACCCGTCCGGACGTGTCTGAGCCGCGCAGCCTCCTCACGTGACCCGTTCGGACGTGTCTGAGCTGCGCGGCCGCAGTCCCGCGCGCGCTGACGGCGAGCGCCGTTCCAGCAACACGGCAGTCCGGAGTCGGCGGCGCAATGTCTGGAGAAGTCGGCCAAGATTCTGGAGACGTCGAGGCCGGCCGATGCTGTGCCGCTGTACCAGCGCGCCACCGATGTGGTCATGCTGGAGGACCGGCCGCGCACCGCCGGTGGGTTCGACTGTCCCCCCCCCCCCCCCCCCCCCCTCCCGGATGGTGCAGCGATGGTGCGTCCAACTGTTCTTTGCGCAGCAAGGTAGCGCCAGGGTCTATCCTTCTCGGCCATGTTGGGCGGATGGGTCCAACTGTCCTTCCCTGTTTCGCTGGTAGGCCAAACTCTCCCCCCCCCCCTGACGGTGCAATGCTGGGAACCCAACTGTGTTCCCCTGGCTGTGCCGTTCCACTGAGTCTAACTGCCCTCCAGTGACGTTATGCCACTAGTCCTAATTATCCTTTCATTGGATGGTTCCGCCGGTGAAGCCATTTTTCCCGGCAGTGGTGTCGGTGCACCCTCCTTTCCCGCCTGTGATGTACAGCAGGTCAGTGCCCCCTTGGCATGGTGTGATGTTGCTACACCATCGCCATTCAGAAGTGTCCTGTGGTCGCCCTGACCCTTCCGATTGGGTGCACTGGTTGATATAACCCGGCGTTCATGGCTTTACCTCACTGATACGATGCCGGGTGGCTTTGGTCAGCGGATTGTTTTTTTCTGCATGTCCTCGTGTGCAATATTATCCTACTATATGCGACTTATAATGCGGTTCCATAACATAAGTGCCACAACAGAAACTGCTACTGCGACATTAGCATTACTTTCACGGCCAATATTGATACACAACATTATTGCTATGCGACAAAACTTACGCCGGACAAATGTATACTCGTCATTTTTTTCTACTGCGAACGCTTATACATTCAGAAATTATGCATGACATTATTTTTACTGCAGAAACTTGTACGCAAGATCAATGCTATGCGACGACACTTATACTTCCAATGCTCATACCCATCATTATACCCACTGCAAGGACTTGCACAACCATTGCTTATTTACGGCATTTATTCTACCGTAAAGACGTCCACACGGTTTGAGTACCACACGACAAAAGATATGCTCCACAGACGTGTGTTTGTCGTTACCTTTACTGCAAAGACTTAAATGCAATATAATTGCTACGCGACAGAACGTGTGCGTGAAAATCTATCATCGTCATTACGTTTTCTGCAAAAACACGTATCATATTAAGGGTATGCGTAGCACTACTTCTTCTACTGATGCTCGCCGTGGAACACAGCATGCGTGGACACCCAACAGCGGTGTAGGAACAGTTCACAGCTTAGGAAGGAACCTGAACTGGACAATACTACAACTAAAATGTATGTTTTGCCAATACGAAAAGCCATTTAGTTATACAGATAAACGTTCGTTGCGCTAATCGAAAAGCTGTTGCTTATTATGTCATCTTATGTTGTATTTACCACATTTTTGCACAAATTTCACATAACTATGCTCCAAAGAAGAAGTAAAATCGCTGACAAGTCGAGACTACATGGTTTTTTTACAGTAGACAGACGGACATATGCTTGTTTAAATAACATATTTTATGACTTAAAGTTTTATTGTGTAGCACTGATGTCATCTGCTATAGCTCGTTGCAGTAAGAGTAATGTCGCGTATAAGCAAAGACCGGACAAGTATTTGCTGTGTCAGTAATGCCGGGTATAGTTTTTCACAGTAGAAGTGCTGTGGTGTGACACTCACGTCATGTGTGTCTTTGCAGTGGAGGTAATGTCGCGTACAAGTACAGGCTGCACAAGCTCGTGCATTAGATGTAATAGTGAGCATAACTAACGTAACGCATCTGTCGGCAGGAGTTTTTGCCGTAGCACTTACGTCGTGACATCTTCCAACACTCTCTGTTTCTTCCCGCTGGTGTTCCCACGAAGCGAAGGAGGTTGTAGTAGACGTGACGGAAATCTGTTCGACAGCGCGTGGGCGCGCAGTTTAACCGACAGAACGGGCTAGACACGATCACATTGCTCTTGTCGCCAGCCAACTACACCTCGAAGACATCCCGGCTGATGGTGCGCCTGGGTCGCTACGATGAGGCCGTGGTGTCCGTCCGCAGGGAGATGGGGTACCAACAGGTGAGGGGGGGGGGGGGCTGGCAGGCGAGGCAGAGTATCAACAGGTGAGGTGGGGGCCAGTATGTGAGGCGGGGTACCAACAGGTGAGGTGGGGGCCAGTATGTGTGGTGGGGTACCAACAGGTGAGGTGGGGGCCAGTATGTGTGGTGGGGTGCCAACAGGTGAGGTGAGGGCCAGTATGTGAGGTGGGGTGCCAACAGGTGAGGGGGCCGGTAGGTGAGGCGGAGTACCAACAGGTGAGGAGGGGGCCGGCAGATGAGGCGGGTTACCAGCAGGTGAGGTGGGGACCGGCAGGTGAGATGGGGTACCAACAGGTGGGGTGGGGGCCGGCATGCGAGGTAGGGTACCGACAGATGAGGTGGGGACTGGCAGGTGAGGTGGGTACCAACAGGTGAGGTGGGGGCCAGCATATGAGCCAGGATACCGGCAGGCGAGGATGGGGAAGGGAAGGGCTGTGAAAAGGCCGTGTCACCTTCGTCATTCCTTTTTCATTGCGCTCGCTTCTTCCATCGCAATCATTCTGCCGTGCCGTTCCCAGGTAGTCCGTACGAAGTGCCGATGTTTATCAACAGCTTTCCGTCAAGTTATGCCGCCGACACCAGAGATTGGCTTGGACTCTGATCGGTCGCTAGGGCCGCCTGACGCAGCCTCCTGACATGGGACTGCTTCTCTGCCCCGTACCCCGCGTGGTTGTGGCCGGCCGCTGACCCCGTGCCGCCGGCCCTCAGGAGCTCGAGGACGCCGCGCAGCTGGGCCGCCTGACGGTGGTGCTGGTGCTGCTTCACCTCGCCAGGGATGATGTGGTCGCCGCCAGGAAGGCCTTCGACGAGTGGGGCAACTACTGCGAGGCCGAGGAGGCGAGTCCACGGCGGTGCCGCCCTGCCGCCGGCAATTGGCCTTTTTGGCATTTATTGGTTAATTAATTCGTTAACGCGAGCTCCATTTGTTCTTGGCAGTTTTCGTGATGTCCCAAGGCCTGCAATGGTATCGTGTTTTAGCTCTGCTGTATGGGATCCTATCTTGTATGTAAGGAAAGCTATGATTAGTCAACACGCTGACGCCCCGCCAGTGCTTCGTAGCAGCCCATTGGGAGCGGACTCGTCCGCCGTCCCTCCTGCCGCCAGATGTCTTCACTGGGCGCTGGTTGGGCTGACCGCAGATATCACCCTGTCACAACTGGCTGTCGTCCCTGGCCACATAACCAGTTGATAGCAGATGGACATTCTGTCCCAGCTGTGATGCCTGCCCATTATCTCGGATTGCAGGTACCCACCCTCTCCCGCCTGAGCTGACCCTCTGACCCTGTGACTCGTACCGCACGTAACCACCCTCTCCCACCTGAGCTGACCCTCTGACCCCATGACTCGTGACCGCAGGTAACCACCCTCTCTCAGCTGAGCTGACCCTCTGACCCCACGACTCCTGACCGCAGGTAACCACCCTCTCCCACCTGAGCTGACCCTCTGACCCTGTGACTCGTACCGCAGGTGACCACCCTCTCCCACCTGAGTTGACCCTCTGACCCCGTGACTCGTGACCACAGGTGACGACCCTCTCTCAGCTGAGCTGACCCTCTGACCCCACGACTCCTGACCGCAGGTAACCACCCTCTCTCAGCTGAGCTGACCCTCTGACCCCACGACTCCTGACCGCAGGTAACCACCCTCTCCCACCTGAGCTGACCCTCTGACCCTGTGACTCGTACCGCAGGTGACCACCCTCTCCCACCTGAGCTGACCCTCTGACCCCGTGACTCGTGACCACAGGTGACGACCCTCTCTCAGCTGAGCTGACCCTCTGACCCCACGACTCCTGACCGCAGGTGACCACCCTCTCTCAGCTGAGCTGACCCTCTGACCCCACGACTCCTGACCGCAGGTAACCACCCTCTCCCACCTGAGCTGACCCTCTGACCCTGTGACTCGTACCGCAGGTGACCACCCTCTCCCACCTGAGCTGACCCTCTGACCCTGTGACTCGTACCGCAGGTGACCACCCTCTCCCACCTGAGCTGACCCTCTGACCCCGTGACTCGTGACCACAGGTGACCACCCTCTCTCAGCTGAGCTGACCCTCTGGCCCCATGACTCGTGACCGCAGGTAACCACCCTCTCTCAGCTGAGCTGACCCTCTGACCCCACGACTCCTGACCGCAGGTAACCACCCTCTCCCACCTGAGCTGACCGTCTGACCCTGTGACTCGTACCGCAGGTGACCACCCTCTCCCACCTGAGCTGACCCTCTGACCCAGTGACTCGTGACCACAGGTGATCACCCTCTCTCAGCTGAGCTGACCCTCTGACCCCGTGACTCGTGACCACAGGTAACCATCCTCTCCCACCTGAGCTGACCCTCTGACCCCTTCACTCCTGACCGGAGTCGCGGGTGATGGAGAACTCTCTCAGCTGAGCTCACCCTCTGACCCTGTGACTCTTGACCGCAGGTGGCCACCCTCCCTCAGCTTAGCTCACCATCTGACCCTACGACTCCCGACCTCAGGTGGGCACGCTATCCCAGCTGCTGGAGGGCTATGAGGAAGAGGATCCGGAGTTGGCGCGCCGCGCCCTCGGCTCGTCGTTCATCAAACACATGGACATCGACTACGCCAAGCTGGCCGCCAGCCTGAAGCTGCCCGAAGTCACGGTAGGGTTCCCAGATGGCTTTCTGACTGGAATATTGCGGCGATGGACGCGTCCATGGAGCTGCGTATTTATTTAAGGTGGTCTGGCCTTTCCCGGCGTTTCCTTCACCCATCGCGTCCTTTGCCTGCCCTATATATTTGCTTGCACCTGACACGTCGTCCTCATGCTAAAATGGTGTCATGCTGCAAAGGGCGAAGCAACCGTCGGGCCGGGGGTAGACGCCTCCTCTCCGCCCCACTCTCTGAAGATTTAGCATTGTCTGTCTGAATGTTGACTGGACAGGAATAACCAAAGATGGCTGTACTGACCCCCACCCCCCCCCCCCCACCCCACCCACCCACACACACGCACGCACGCACGCACGCACGCACGCACGCACGCACGCACGCACGCACGCACGCACGCACACTTGGAGAACTTCCGTCACCTCTGTTTGCCGCCATGACTGCCAAGGGCGCTTTCAGAACGGCATTGTTATCGTCCGAAAACGCCACGTTTTGCCCGACTTTGGCCATCCGGGGGGAGGGCGGAACAGGGCATGACCTGGTTGCCGGGTTGTGCCTCTGATGCCTGCGACATTGTTACGTTTGTCCGCAGGCAAACCCGCAGGAGAAGTCACCGACGGCGGAGGCGCAGTCGACAGATGCTCTGGCGGCCAACTTCCAACAGAGCGTCTCCGTGTCGCAGGTGAGGTGGCGCTGCGGCTCCGACGCCGTCGCTGGACTCCGGCGCGGTCGCTGGACTCCGGCGCTGCCGCCGGACTCCGGCGCTGTCGCTGGACTCTGGCGCTGTTGCTAGACTCCGGCGCCGTCGCTGGACTCCCGCGCTGTCGCGGACTCCCGCGCTGCCGCTGGATTCCCGCGCTGTCGCTGGACTCCCGCGCTGTCGCTGGACTCCGGCGCTGTTGCTAGACTCCGGCACTGTCGCTGGACTCCGGCGCCGTCGCTGGACTCCGGCGCCGTCGCTTGACTCCGGCACTGTCTCTGGACTCCGGCGCCGTCGCTGGACTCCGGCGCTGTCGCTGGACTCCGGCGCTGCCTTTGGACTCCGGTGCTGTGGCTGGACTCCGGCACTGTCGCTGTGTCGGACTGCAAATCAGCTGGGCCGCGTTCCTCATGGCAAAGTACCTACTTGAGTTGCTACTAATGATGTCTGAAGTACTTACATCATACATAAGCGACTAACCTCCAAACCGCATGAGATGTTGTGACGCACCTACCTCTGACGTCATAGGTTGCAACGTGTGGGCAGCCGTTGGTAATGGGGAACGCGGCCCTGGTGTTTGCTTAGACGCTTAGACAGCCCAGACGATCTCCAGCCACCTGCCATTGCCCGCGGAGAGCGCGTTTCCTACGGCCGGCTGTGGACCAGACCGGCCGGCCGACGGCACGCGTTCTGCGCCACACGAGGAGCTGTGCGCCGCTGTGCCTGTGTCTGCTCCTCGCAGGACATCCCCAGTCATCTCTCTCTTCCAGAGCACGTTATTTCAGGCAAGGGGGATCGCAGTTGTTGGAAACGAAATAGCTGGCAGTTATCGGGCCTCAGCGGTGTCACACATCGTCCGCTGATGGGCAGGTGGGCACTTGTGCGGCCGCGTGAGCCAGAGCTCGTTACGCTGGTCGCAGCTGTGTCGGCCCGACCTGACCCCTCCCCCCGCCCGCACCCGTCTGCCCACAGGGAGCGACGGGTGCCGCCGCGGACGTCGTTCAGCACGACGACGAAGATGATGAGTACGCTGGCGGACTGTGCTAGGTCCGCGGCTACGGACAGAGCCGGACGGGGCGCGGTGCGGTGCCGGTGTTGCGGCGGCTACGGTCAATGTTGCAGTGGTTGCGCTCGCTTCACGCCGCTGGGCTGGTCCTCGTTGCCGTATGGGTTGACGACGGCTGCCACGGCCGCTGAGCAGTCTCTGTGTGACATCGGGCGGTCGCCGCGGCCCGGGCGGGTCCGCGGCCGACACCACGGCCGCAGGGGTCCGCGCCACTTGGTCCGAGCACGCGCGCGCCGCCAGCTGGTGGGGCACGCCGAGCCGTGATGGCGCGGAGCCGCCGCCCGGCCGACGTAGGCTGCCCTCGCGCCACCGCCGCCGCTGCTGCCTGCCAGACCGTGGCCCAGGTAGCTGGGGGACACCGGCCCGCATGACTGGGCCCCTGGGCGCGTCGAGCTCGTGATGGGCGCGCTTGTTGGGTTAGGCTTGGCTCTCTGGAGGCCGATAGAAACTGAAGGTTTTTTCAAGTCTATCTCGAGAAACGTTTAGACGGTCTATTAAACGCATTCGGTACTGACCGGCGTATCATCAAGTTCGATGTTTGGGATTGCCAGGTCCCAAACAAAATGTAAATACCTTTGTTGGCCAAGCTGGAGTGCGTTAAGCGTTGATCAATGATGGCGTGAGTCCCGCCAAACTGGTCGGAGTCGCGCCTCCTACATTAGACGCCGGCGTGTGCGCCGCTTGTCTGTGATGACCAGCTCTCGCTGGCAGATTCCGCTTGATTCAGTGACAGCTTTCGACGGTCGGGTGCGTGCGTCTGTTGGTCCCAGCAGTGGCGGACGGGCGGCAAGCACCCATTGAGCTTGTTAGCGTTTCTCCCGTCGCGGTGTCGTTCAGTTGAACCGTCCGCCCTCGCGAGGCAGTTAGAAGAGCCTGCGAAGGCAGTGACCGCCACGAAGGCGGCCGTGAAAGACACGCTATTTCTGCCTTGTGAGACTCCGAAGCGGATTTCTGTGCTCCCTAGTGCGCTCTGTGCAAGTTGACTAGCTGCTGGCCGACTCGCTGATGCGTGTTTTAGTTCACGCTCTTGAACTTGGGGGCCACCGACGCACCGGTCACCTCCGGTCACGCGTGCTGTGGGAGCGGTGTAGAGTTCGGCCCCGATCGGTTGCCGAGCTTAGCGGACGGGCGGCGTGCGGCGGCGCGTCACGCGTCACGCGTCCACGCCGCTGCACTTCATTCCAGTAGTTTGGTCGATGTCGTGCTTGTTCGTGTCGCGTCTCTCTCCGGCCGCAGTGTGCGTTACGCAGGCGTGTGGTGTGCAATCATTACTGATGGACAGTGGCTGGGCCACCGTTTTTCGTGAACGATACGCCACTGGTGAAGGAAACGAAGAAGCAGCTCTACTGGTGTGTGCAGTTGTATTATGCCACGAACACTCCGCTGAAACATTACATTTGTCGCGTTCTCGGCAAGTACACCGGACTGAGAGCCAAATCATGCCAATGTCGAGCATCGTGCCCTGTCGACTGTCACCTTGTCAGCACACACCCCATTCGGTCATATTCAATATGGGGTGTTATTTGCCCCTGAGCACTCTGTTCAGATTTGATAATTAATGCGGGAGAGCCACCCGGTGATATCGATATATGCTCGAGCTTCGCGACCGCCGAGGGCAACGGTCCGATACTCCCGGGCTAGTCCTAACGAGCTGTCAGGGGATCGCACGGCTTAAAGCGCCATGACAGGTTTTTTGCACGCGCTATAATGACTCTTTACGCATCTGTGTTCTGTCCCATTGGATGATATCACTAAACATTAGTGGTGCCAGATGAGCATGCTGTACCAGGGGTGAGCAATGTGCTCAGATAGACGAGGTAGATGCGTGGAAAGATCGACGCATTTAAATTCCCCCCCCCCCCCCCAATGCTCTACCCCCAAATCATCTTGCATTTCGTGCGGATGTTCTTCAGAACGAGAGCACTTCTAAGAAACCTTTGGAGACCCTGACCCGACCACATGGAACAGAAATGTTGGTTTGCCGAACAGTTGCCTTTGACATGCACGGTTGCGTGCACTCAGCTGGTTGGGGACGTCCGCAGTAGTAGCTGGGTCCCGCACCGCGGAGGGTGTTACGGCTAGTGTGCTGACGGTTGGGGCGGTGGTATGCTGCGGCGGCAGCCCTGACAGCCGAGTGGGCGATCCTCGCCCCGATATTCTCTACTTCCGGGACCTGGTCGTGAAGGGAAGATTGAGGTGCCATGGCACGTCGCGAGGCCAGCAGACTGCTGAGAACAAACATATCGGTGTATTTTAACCCTCCCAACGACATAAACTCTGATAACGTGGGTGTCGCCAACAGCAACCAGCTCGCCTGAGAACGCTAGCCCCTAACAACAGGTCCAAAACACCGGCACCAAAACGGCGCGATCGCCGAGGGCCGGGCGCCGACGGCGGAGCTCGTTCCACCACGCTGAATGTCACACCACCACACCTGAATCCCACATCACACCAAAGGCGGGAAGGCGCGCACCCACACGCACACGCCACGGAACAATCTCACACCCAAGGAATGATGGCGACCTAGTTATCACAGGTTGCTGGCGGCGCCACGCCGCCGCCTTTGTCTCTGAGCCGCGCCGGTACCCCGTCGCCTTCGTCGCAAGCTCCAGCCGGCCAGCGTTGTCGCGAAAGCGGCGCTCGCTGGTGTTGAGATCCCGAGCCGAGCGCTCGCCGCCTCCCCTGAGCCGCGGCGCTCGAGCCCTGGCTCTCCGCCGTTCGCGGAGACAGAGACCCCTCCGCCGGTGACGTCAGAGCGACTCGTGACGTCACGACCCGCCGGCGCTTCGCGTCGCTATCGGTTCTCGAAGAGCACGTCCTCGTCGTCGTCGTCGTCGTCGTGTTCGCCGAGCAGCGGCAGCTCGGTGCCAAGGTGGCGCGGCCGAACGTCGGCCGGCCGGGCGGTGGCCAGGTGGCGCGCCTTGATGCCGGCGTGCAGCGCGATCCCGCCCACGCACGTGACCAGGCCGACCGCCTTCAGGCCGCTCAGCTCGTCGCCGTTCACCAGGATGGCCAGCAGCAGGGTACACACCTCCTGTGGCGGCCCGCGGACTGTCACACGCCAGCCTGCAACTCGGAGGACAGCCAGCGGCGGGGCGCGCACCTCGTGTGGCGGCACGCGGAGAGCAGACCGCGGAACCCACCGCAGACAGACACGCGAGATTGGGCGGGGCGGCTTATTGCCACAGTGGTGGCAGGAGGTGGCGCGAATGTTATTAAAACATTAAACACGATAGAAAAGAAGCTGATAGTGTTATGATGGTTCTTGTTTGCATCTTTGACACCGGGACCGGGTGGAGCGTATTCAAGGGGATACTGGTGTCTGTTGAGCTATCGGCTTCAGACATAAAGCTTTATTACCCTACTACCCAAATGTAGGCTTCATCAGCAATGCAGTACCTGTTTTTAACTGCGCTGACGTAAACAACTACGAAAGCTGCATGGATCATTACGAGTGACCATCCGTTTATTCCCCACTAACGTATCTGATATCACTGACCGGCCGTATGAGAGGCAGATATTGGTCTGAGCCGTCTTAGGGGCCGTCTAATATGATTGCCGCTCTGACCAAAACGTGTTCTTTTAGGAAAATGCATAAGAATACGTTAAATTTCATGTTTGTTTACCAGTTCCAGTTCCAACTCCAGTTCCACATGTTTCTAAGTGACGAGACGCACAGCCCCCGTCGCGTCACCAACCCGAGCTTCCAACACTCCCATCACGTAGTCAGCATCGCATAGAGCGAATGAGTGCGCCGTCTCCAGCACCACGCCCGCGCAGCACACCTCTGCAGAGGTCGGCGGAGTGACGTACCTTGAACACGCTGGCCACGCAGAGCGTGACGCTGGAGGTGACGCGCAGCGCCAGGAACTCGGAGAGGTCCATCATGAAGGCCAGCACGCAGCCGAGCAGCACGCGGCCGGCCGAGTCGGCCAGCTGGTGCGGCTCCGAGTAGAGGAACAGGTCGCGCGACGTGGCCACGGCCGCACCTGGCGCCCACGCCGGCCGGGCCCGTCAGAGGGGAGTGACCGCGCTCCGCCTGGAGTCGGGGCCGGGGCCGTGGCAGCAGCGGGCTGGGGCTTGGCAGGGCTGGGGCTGGGGCAGGGTGACAGGGCAGGGCAGGGGAGGACACGGTACGGCCGCAGAGCTTGGAACGCTTCTGGGTGGGGCTGGGTGGTACGAACGGCATCAACACAACAAAGGTGCAGATGTTCGTCTGAACCGTAGATTCGTCAACAGCTCAGACGAGTCACACGGTGTCACAGTCTCGTAAAGGCTGCCTATTCGAAGCGGCGAAACGTGCAGTGGTCACAAATCGACATAGCTGCGGAAGAAAACTTCACTGCTCCACCCACAATAACACTACCAACCCGTGTTACTTTAGCCAGTGTGTTCTGACGAGCACACTAATCGCAGTATGTGACGCCCGCAGTCCCGGTGTTCAACGCCCATTACATGGCCATGCATCCCGACACAAGAGAAAAACGTGGCGGCCGTGACGTGCTTCAATGGTACCACGCCTCAATACGTCGGGTGGCTTGGGCTCCACCCGCCGGGTATGTCATCACCGGGAGCACAAGGAACGTGGAAAGGCCGTACTTCAGTAGTGACCGAGCACTGTTCTACCAGCTAGCTATACGGAGGACGCGGGCAGTCGAAGGGCCCGCAGGAGGCTGGTCATAGGCGCGTGAAGGGAGGCCCGCGCTCGCCAAGATGGCTCACCTTCAAAGAAGACGGCAAACGGCATCAAACTGACGATCATCCACGGCTGAATGTGGTAGATCATGTCGATGGGGTTGGAGAGGCCCAGCTCCTTCTTTTGCATCAGAATCTGTGACAGCGTCCACCGCAGCCCACTGCCGGCACGGGTGTAATGCCAGCCGCGCGCCGCACGGCTCCGCTGTGCGGTGACCTCTGTTGGGAGCAGCCAAGCGCACCAGTGGCGATGTCCGAGCATCGCATAAATAGCGGGGTAACGGTTATACTCGGCTTTCCACGCCGAGACAACTGCTTATGGCAGCAGCGGTACAAAATTATCAAACAGCATATTTCTACCAGCGCCTGAGCGCCATGAATACGATAAGAAATCCACCACACTATTCATAACTCGTAAAATATTTTATGGCAAAATGGTGCTGTAGCAGAACGAAAGCGCCACTAACTACAATATTTAGAGGCGCAAAATCAATTGTGACAAACATTAAAA